CTCATATAAATATTAGCCTTACCATTAACTACATGTATTTTCTACATGGGTACCAAGTTTCAAGTCAATCGGATGCATGGTTCAGTAGTTATAACGGAACATCCGTAAAAACCACTGTAAAAAATTAATATAGATAAACGAAAGGTTGAGGATTCCAACACATCCCTCATACAGCTATCTCTTTTCTTTGTTCATAGATTCCCAAATCCAAGTAAATTCTTGATACAGGATTCTGCAAAGCACGTGACTCAAATTTGATTACTGGATTGTTCTCAGGCGCGAACTCACATCCATCCACCGGTGAGGTTGTAAAAACGAAAATTGTTTTTATTTATTTAGTTACTTTAATAGAGTTCGGATTCTACTCTTCTACGAGTACTCCTTTAAGCCAAATAGATCGTTGAAAATGTTCAATACCCCCCCCGGTCACAAAGTCGCCGAAGCACCATATAATTATATCCGCAGTGAAGTAAATTAAAGCCCTCTTTGTTCGTATAATAGAAGATTATAAAAAAATGTTTTTTAAGTCGTGAAGATATTTTAAGCAGGGTCTCCTTGATAACGTGTTTCTGATCGTGTCTCGGGATCATTCTCCGAATCATCGTCGTGTTCTGATACGGTCGTTCCGGGAATCAGTATATACCGAGCTTGCCTGTAAAAAAAACATCTGTATCAATATGAAATCGAAAATGAAAATGATTTTAGTATTTCATTCGGTGAGCACATCGGATTAATTTCGTTAAAAAAAAACCCAGCAGAACGGCAACGTCAACGTCAAATACATAGACCAACTAATACGACAACAATCTATGTATAATTATAATATAATTTGAAGTCGTCGTGGCCTAAAGGATAATACGTCCGGTGCATTCGTATGTAGCGATGCACCGGTGTTCGAATCCCGCAGGCGGGCACCAATTTTTCTAATGAAATACGTACTCAACGAATGTTCACGATTGACTTCCACGGTGAAGGAATAACAACGTGTAATAAAAATTAAAACCCGCAAAACTATAATTTGCGTAATCACTGGTGGTAGGACCTCTTGGGAGTCCGCACGGGTAAATACCACCACCCCGCCTATTTCCGCCGTGAAGCAGTAACGCGTTTCGGTTCGAAGGGTGGGGTAGCCGTTGTAACTATACTGAGACCTTAGAACTTATATCTCGAGGTGGGTGGCGCATTTACGTTGTACATGTCTATGGGCTCCAGTAACCACCTAACTCCAGGTGGGCTGTGAGCTCGTCCACCCATCAAAGCAATAAAATAAAAAAAAACATATACAAAAGTCGATGTGTGCATTTTAGTACGTTCCTTAACTCCGAATCCTCCGAACTCTGAATCCGAAAAGGATGGACTATGTCGATCAAATTTTCAGACAATTTTCAGATTGGCCCAACTGGTGATCCAGTCAAATCATAGGACGGCCAGCAAAACGGGTCTTTGGTTTGACGAGTAATACTCTAAATTCGAAATTGACTTCATTTGTTCGTTTGTCTTTTACGTCCGAGTCTTAAGAACTCAACCGATCGTCCTGAAATGCGGCGAATACATTCTCAAAGGGTACATAAGGGTAAATTACATAGGATATCTTCCATAGGCCTTTAGACTATAGGCGTACGAGCTCACTAAAGAGCTAGATAAAGACTGTACGCACCAAAAATATTGGGTTTTATTTTGTCTTTTGTCAAACAGAAGTAGGCGCTGTAGTAAGCACTCCTGACCGCTGGGTTGATGACCGGATAGTCGATTCGATTCCCGCGTCAGGCAAACATATGTACGCGTGAGAGACAGAGAGAGAGACAGAGAGAGAGTATTTTTTATTGTACACCAAAAAAATGCGAAACATTACGTACAAAAATAAGTACAATTGGCAGTCTTATCGCTAAGAGCGATCTCTTGCAGACAACCATCAGGTGAACAAGAATCATTTGAAAACGAATACATATATATATACAGGCGTGATGAATAAGTTTACTTGCTTTTTATCTGTGTTAATATTCTTATATATGTACTGATTTCAATGAAAAGTATCCTTCTTACAGTACAAGGAAACCTACTTTAGGGCTAGATGATCGTATGTAATTCGTTACCTATTATAATTTTGTTACATAGGAGCTGTCGATACGGATTAAAATAACCAATAAAAATTAAATTACTTTTTACCCAAATTACACGCTGAGCATAATTTGATCTCGGTACAAACCGCTACATTATCTAAAAAAGCTTAATATAAGCAAGTAAGCACTCATTACAAATAATGGTAAAATGAATCAAATACCCTAGTCCATAAGAGTTAAATTTCATTGATTGGATTTTTAAATGGCCAAGGTGTTTATTTGGTTGTTATGCATAGCGCTAATTTTGTACCTTTGTTTCTGTAAATCAGTTCAAATATATTTACTTATATACACACCTCAATTCTAATGATAAAACTTTCTTAATGATCAATTCACTTATAATGATTATAGCTAATGATTTCAAATTTTGTACTTCGAAACTGTGTATTAAAGACTGCAAAGTAAATTTCTGCTGTTGACCACCTATTCCTAATGCACATTATTTTCTATAATAATCTAATCTCATGTACATTTTTTTTAACCTCACGCTCTACCCTTTTTTACAAACAATTACCGTTTTCTACGTTTTCTTTTAATAGCTCTAATTAAGCTTAATTTTAAACAACCTTTTTAGTATGAACGAGATAGGCACACAGGATAGAGATACTAGTTTTCTTTTTTTTTCCTACCTAAGCTGATAGCCTTGAGAGATTATGTCAGCATAACCGTTCGAGTAGGTGAGCTCACGAGGCTCAAACCTGACGTTGTTGCCAACACGAACCCTAGCCAGAGCCGTGCTTCACAGAATCTTCCATCGGATCGGAAACGCGACCCTCGAGACACTAGGCTAAAGTATAAATTGTATTACATATAAACTCTGATAAATTTTATCATTGTATCAATCCCAAATTTCAAACCAGTACGAATAACTCCTTCGCGGTAGAAATAAGTAAGATGATTGTAATTGTATGCCCCACCAGATATGTTTTTTATTGCTTAGATGAGTGGACGAGCTCACAGTCCCCTTGATTTTAAGTAGTTACTGGAGCCCATAGACATCTACAACGTAAATGCCGCCACCCACCTTGAGATATGAGTTCTAAGGTCTCAGTATAGTTACAACGGCTGTCCCGCCCTTCAAACCGAAACGCATTATTGCTACCAGTGCGGACTCACAAGAGGTCCTACCACCAGTAAGCCTCGAAGACGACCACTTTAATCAAGAAATTAATATCTTTGATCTGCTTATGACATCAACGATGCCAGGGACATAGCCTAGTTAGTCGCTACCTACTAAATAATAATCAATTCTATTTAACCTTTTCAAGGTTATTTTTTAAAGTACACAAAACGTTAATTTAATTTATTCTTTATTGCGTTTTGTTCATTTTATATTGAGAACAAAAGTTGCAAAAAATTAACAAGCATAGTGAATGTTCATTTGAAAAAATATGTCCACATGTGTGCCCATTTAGCGTAGAATTAAATATATTATTATTTATATATGTATAATATATAATAATAATAAAAAAAACTAAAACGTACACATATGTGCCAATGTCCTTGAAGAGGTTAATATAATTTGTGGGCACGTGACCCATTGGCGCCTACTATCGTATATTTTAATGGAATTCCCTATTTTTTAGTTTTCACCACCTTGCCACCCCGTTGTCGTTTAGTAGTTATTGATAGTTATATCATCACTAAATGAATACGACTACTGTGGAATTGTAAATTAAAACACAGCAAAAACAAGACGAATTTATTGTGTACCATAAACAATATCTTATTAGCTAAATGAAAGTAAAAAATAACTTAAATTTTATACATTAAATATTACCAAAATACCTTATTTAATTAATACAAACCGCACTTGTTACACAGCACATAGGATAAGGTTAATTTTTAATTGCTATTTATCAGAACAAAAGGGAAGGGAAAGGGAAGGCTGGTGTGAAATCAAAACACGAATCTATAAGTTTGTACACATTTTAATTTGAAATGTGTACATTTTTTTTGATAACAAATTTTATTTTCTTGGCTGCGCATGTCATCCAACAATGAACGGTAAAACATAACCATCGCATTAATTATTAGAAATTATCTACTTGCAGATTCATCCTTCATCAGATTAAGCATAACATAAAATAAGGAATTTAAATATATATATTTTTATCGTAGGTATGTATGTATGTATGTAATATATTTATTCATAAGAAGTTACACTTACATTCAAAACATGCCCCGCAAAACTGCTTATGCAGTTTGACTGGTATTTAGATGTTATTTTCGTTGCGGATTTTCTCTAAGCATTTCTATCGTTCCTTCTTGAATCAAATTACATAATAAATAATTATATCTATAATATCATAATTAACACATTTTCAGAAACTTTAGGCGTACTATGAAGCTGTCTTTTTATTATTAAATGAAAGTTTCAGTCTAAATATTGCATGTACGTGAATTAAACTGTCTCTTTTTTTAAAGGAAGAAGAGAGAAAGACGCACGTTTTATGGTCACCAAAGTAAAGCAAAAAATAATGTTTACGATTCTGAGTGAGAAAAAAATAAGGTTACCATGTCGTGAAATTTTTTCAGTTACGTTTATAATAAATAGGCAAAGATAAAATAGTTCAGCGTCTTTTAAATTTGTCTTTGTTAACCGTTATTCATTTCACTAAATAAATTAGTAGCTAGTGATGAGCTTTAAGCTTGTAACAAAATTAAACAAAAAAACCACCTTTCCAGCAAAAGAACAGAAAGAAATTGTCAAATACGAAATAAAAGATAATAAGTTAGACGAATTTAAATCTTGAGGCGTCAGTGATTATGATTGGATTTCGAGTATTGGACACTTCAGTCATCTTTATCGAGCAATAACGAATTTCGCAATAAGGTTTTAAGTATTTATAAAAAGCTGCAATCCACTAGATAAGGTCCTATAGGTTTCCATTTTGTCAAAAAAAAATTCATATCCACAAGCGTAAGATTTCAAAAGGCGTTAAAAAAAGAAGAAATGCAGTGTTTGGTATTTCATTAAAATAATAGTTGCAAAGGTCATGTAGTTGTAATTTCTAAGGAATTTAACGATAAAACTAAAATAAATAAATGCTGTTTGGAACTGATTTGAGATACATAAAATAGAAGATCTTACATAAGATGAAGTTATGTTTCGAAAATAAAAAATACATTTAAATATTATATATTTTACAAACAAAATAAATAGTTGCTTGGAATAACATTAACCGTTTCTTTTTCTTCAATAAATTATGTTTTAACATTACGTAAGCTTTTTCATCTCTGTCGTGTTAATTTATTATGAGAATCTTTGTCTTAAAAACGGCATTCTGTCTGAGCGAATCCGGGGCGTGTCACTAGTACAGAAACGCGGTTATGGCATCATACCTTCACGTCCAAGTTGTATTTCTTGTCGGCGTTCCTAAAAAAACATGAATTGAGTAAAAATTTATTTATTTATCTCATTTAACTTGATACTAGAGATGGTGAAACTATTATCGCAAATTTGTTATCGATTAAAATATTAACAAAAACAACATCGACATTCAATATCAAACGGCACGTTAAAAAATTAGGCCGATAAAAAAAGTTTACTTTATTAAAAAAAACAAAAATACAGTGCGCGTGCAACTTGGTGCACGTGAATGAAGTGAAACTTCTTTTTAGATGTGCAGTATTGTGGGTTTCCTCATTTTTCATCCTTTAATCAGATTGCTCTTGTAATAGGGAGTGCTGTGTATAAGAGATGAGACATCCTCAACATTTATATTATATATATTTTAAATTATGGATAGAAAAATAAATATAAACATTTTATTAAATACTTCATTAAAATATTGGACGCTACAGGTTGCTAACGCTCGCGCTGGCGTGTAACAGGTACTACGCGCATGCGTTCGAGTGTCACCCATTCACTCTCGCTCTGTCTCTTTCTAGTATGGCAGGGTTAAACGTTTAACGCAACCTTGTTAAAGTCGCATTAGAAGTTTCACTTCAAAAAACCGTCACCACGAATTAAAAATACATAAATAATTTCTCCATCTCAAAACTATCGATAAAGCTATGGCGTTATGTTAAACAAAAGTAATAGATTAGGACTAGAGCGTCGTTAGAGTCAGCCGTGTACATACCAACTGTCGACCAACAGAAAGTATTCGCGTCCTTCGGCGCTGCTCGTCATTTCAGAACTCTCATCACTACTGTTTACCATTACAAATTCCTTGCCCTCTCTGAAATATCAATCACATTCCTTAGCCATGTTTTTGTGTTCGTTTTTTCTTTAAAACATAACAAAAGCATTCCGGCGCCATTTTGTTCGGTCCTCGGCGCGCGCGTTCCGTGCGAAGCGTAAAGCGTACCCCGGATATGGATGGTCGATGAATGTGGTGATTTTTTTGTAATTTTTTTTTTTTTTGCACTTGCAACATTTACATTCGAAACAGATTGAACATGATAGTTTTGAAATTGTTCATGATTCTGATCTTTTAGTTCTCTGTGAAATGTAAATGCTGTGTATTAAAATTACAAAAAATATGTCCCCGTGTCGTATGTTGTTGTATAGCGTGTGTTTTTGTTGTCTTCGATGTTTCTTTGCATCTTCCTTTGTTTCCCTTTGTGACGATTTTCTAATCAATCCAGTACTATAACTTGCTTGTGTTCATTAGTGTCTATCTATTAAGTCGAATTAAAAATTCAAGGTTTCCTCTTCGTATACATTTTCTTTGCTCTTATTCATTCGAATGGAATAATGTATTAGCGTCCACAGCTCCAAGTTAGCGTCTATAGTTTTTCAGCCATGACTTCTGCATTTTTGTTTTCAACTATGTGATCGTTTTGTGTGACTGTGATCGAAAATTCCACTGTGCATTTGTTCTGTGTCCGTAATAGTTTCTCTGGTTTTCGTTCTTCATGTAATAAAGTGTGTTAAGTAAGCAGATAGAGTAAGTGTGGAGAAATGTTAGTGAAGGCTCGACTTATTTGCTATGTTAGAGCACCCGCACCAGCTTTTGTGGAATTTAGATAAAAACGTCTAAATCCAAATAAGATTAAAAGCGAAAACCCTTGGTGTTGTCATATTTGTTTTTTCCAATGAAAGAAGAAAATTCGAATGAATAGAACAGTAAATAAGTGTTATATTGAGATTTGTTATGATAAAAATGAATATTTACTATTATTTAAAATCGAAATTAGTGACATGTTAGGGCATGACAAAAACATTCAGCGAAGTGCTTGCCACAAAATCGACTAAAATCGATTCTAATCGATTTTATACGATATCAATGTTTTTTTTTATAACGATTACTATCGATTTCACAGCAACACCACACACACACAAAGCTATCGGAAGAGGTTATAATGACAACACCGCATGCTTATTAGAAACATCGTTACGTACCTATAGAAGACATAGTGCTGCAGTATGAAGAATATATCGAAAACGAGACTAAAGAGGCCGAGGCCGAATTTGGTCGCGTCTCCGAAGAACGAAACCCAGTCGTTGTAGTTGTAGGCGTTGAGGACCATCTGGAGTATCGAAAGGAAGCCGCCCACAAAGTCGAGGAAAATGTTGCCGATACTCCAGCCGACCGTTGATTTGCGTTTGTAGTTCATGTACGCCTGAAATTAATGTTTTGTTTTGTTTGTTTTATTATATTTTTTAAGTCTGATTATCGAATAGATCACGTCTTAGATTTTCGGGTTGCTTTGGCTGTGTGATACCATATCTCGGATATTTTTCCTTATGTAATTGTTGGTAGCCTAACAGGATATTCCAACTACATGCGGACCAGTAGTTCCGTCAGCTCGGGCTCAACCTGAGGTAATTGCTAACACTGACCGTAGCTAGAGCAGCGAAACCCACTGAAAAGATCCTCAAGACAAACTCAATTTGTTTTTATGTCTATGGAATCTGTAGGATAGCACCACCCCATCTCTTCTCTTGAGTATCGTGAATAGTGGTTGGAAAGAAAAGGCTGGAAGTATTGATGTTTTCAGAGTATTATACGAGCGGCTGCGCATTTTTCGTAAGGCAATAGTTTTATAATACAATTGAGACTTCGACCTCATGTCTCAAGGAGAATGGCGGGAATAATGTTTAGATATCTACGGACTCCAATAACTGAACCTTAAGTTCGGGCATGCCCATGATTTGAGACTATGTGCCCAGTCACCTGGGGTCGGCGCAACATGTTTTCTCCTTCCATGCTCCTATCATATACCATTTCTTCGCTCACTCTCCTCTTGCCCATATCGTCTTTCACCCAATCCATCCATTTCTTCTTAGGTCTACATCTTCCACTATATCCTTCCACATTCATAGTTAACACTCTCTTACCAACCACATTTTCATTTCGTCTCATCACATGTCCATACCATCCCAAACGCGCACTTCTCAGCTTTTCTGTCACAGATGTCACTTTCAGACTTCCTCTAACAAATCTAAAGATGGGTAATTTACATATTAGAGAAAGCGCACGTTAAAACTTGTTAGGCGAGTGCTCGGGTACGCAATATTAAACTTTATTGACTGCTCTTTAGAGTGATATTTTTGATATCTGGTTTTTACATGGATGTCTCCAATGGCACCGTCTCGGTTGTCTCGACAATACTGACCTGCGGCACGTATTTGATGAGCGTGATGGCGAGCTTGACGTAGCTGCAGTAGTAGAGCCAGTCCAGCCACTCGATCTTGCCGACGACTGCGATGCTGCCCGTTACTATGACGACCGCTGAGAACGCGCCGAGTATCCCGCGCCCCACCGTCGAGACCCGTTGCTCTTCACGCTGTTACCAAACGCAGACAATCATATGATCATTTTTACTGTTGGTAGGACCTCTTGTGAGTCCGCACGGGTAGGTACCACCACCCTGCCTATTTCTGCCGTGAAGCAGTAAAGCGTTTCGGTTTGAAGTGCGCGGCAGCCGTTGTAACTATACTTGAGACCTTAGAACTTATATCTCAAGGTGGGTCGGAGCTCGTCCACCCATCTAAGCAATAAAAAAAAGATATTCCTCATAGCTGGAGCTCGTGCTATGCAAGGCTGCTGCACTAATAAAGGGTTACGGTATCGCTGACGTCACTCCGTCTAATTAAGGCAAGAAAAGAAACTAAGTTATTAATATAAGGTTATACATATTTCGCCGAACTCATTAGTACCGCAGCCCGCGAATTATCAAACATTTGGTAAATAGCAAGCTGAAAACACTTAATTTGATAAATATGCAATTTATTATCATTGCTCGAGTCTGTCGGTTCGAGATAAATTCGATGAATATTCTTTTGATATAAAATTTATAGGATTAAGATAAGTGAACGACGGTCCAAGTGGCTTACTATGAATATTGGATGAACGAATATCGCATCAAAGTGTCCTTGACCGAAATCGAAGGATTACTTGTAATTCTAATATAATATCATGTTTCATCGATCCTATCAAGTTCATTAGAAAAATTGGTACCCGCCGGCGGGATTCGAACACAGTTGCATCGCTCAACACGAATGCACCGGACGTCTTATCTTTTAGGCCACGACGACTTGCGGGGAATATCTCCGTACCTCATATAAAAAGCACTGGGTGATGGTGATGAGAGTAGCGAAGGCTGCGTGCAAGGAGAAGAACACGTCGTTAAGCTGCACCGGATTCAATCCGCGGGGATGACGACTGAAGTACTCGTTCTGTAAACATTCAATTATTTTGTACACACCTCACAGACAACGTTTTTTTTTTTGTTTTTTTTTTATTGCCTTTGTAGGCAGACGAGCATACGGCCCACCTGATGGTGAATGGTTATCGTCGCCCATGGACTTCAGCAACGCCAAGGGCAGAGCCAAGCCGCTGCCTACGTCAAGTACACTTGTGGCATTATTGGTCCCACATACCCATTATATTCGCGCATCATAGCCACTAAGGAGTAAGCATGCATTTTACTGGTGGTAGGACCTCTTGTGAGTCCGCACGGGTAGGTACCACCATCCTGCCTATTTCTGCGGTGAAGCAGTAATGCGTTTCGGTTTGAAGGGTGGGGCAGCCGTTTTAACTGTACTGAGACTTTAGAACTCATATCTCGAGGTGGGTCGAGATATGAGAACGACTTATACGTTGTAGATGTCTATGGGATTCAGTAACCAGTTAAGATCAGGTGGGCTGTGAGCTCGTCCACTCATCTAAGCAATAAAAAATAAAAAAAGATGTCTATGGGCTTCGGTAACCACTAACACCAGGTGGACTGTCTAAAGCTAAACGGCCACATAACGCGAAGATCGGACGGCTGATGGGGCAGAAAGATTCTTGAGTGGAGACTGACCACGTACTGGCAGGCGCAGTGTGGGACGACCATATACCACACGGACGGACGACCTAGTGAAAATTGCTGTGTCACGTTGGATGCAAGTAACAACGGACCGGCCAAACTGGAGATCGATTGAAGATTCCTATCTTCAGCAGTGAACAGCTATAGGCTGGGATATCCTTCGATGTCTTTTTTTCTTTCCTACCTAAGCTGATAGCCTTGAGAAGCTATTTCAGCGTAACCTTAACTAGTAGGTGAGCTCACGGGACTAAAACCGGAGTGATGCTAACACTGGCCCTAGCAAGAGCAGTGCTTCGCAGAATCTACCACCGGATCAGAAACGCGACCCACTGAGAAGATCCGGCGAGAAACTCAGTGGGCTGTGTCTATGGGTTAATTCGCTCGTCGAGCCCTTCGATGTCATAATATTAAACGAAAATTAACAAACCTGAATCTCTTTAGAAAAATACAGTCCACAGTTGAAAAGCGAGTACATGGTGAAGCCCATAATGTTTAGCGCCAGAAAATCGAAGTTGAGACCGACCACGCTTTTCCTCTTGAAGTTTATGTATATTTGAGGGTAGAACGAAACTGACCAGGCCGCGAAGTATATCCAACCCATTATGTACGATATTATGTTTATTTCGTTGGAGTGCATGACGGTTATGCGTAGGTACACTGTGTCTAAGCTAGAAACAGGAAATTAATTGATATTAATTGATAGTACTTTTTTTTTAATTTGTTTTCGCGAATCGCAGACGTTATTAAAAACACTTTTACGGTTTTACGGGAATCAAGACGAGTCGGCCGTCAGCCATAATACTGTAAATTATTCGCATCGTTGGAAATAACCGAATGACAATAAAAAAACTAGATATAAAACCGTAAAAATAGTTTTAATTATAATACATTAATGTTTGCAATCAAGTACAATCTGGCACCTACCACATTTACATTAGGGTATAAAATTGGCTAAATATGCTTTCAGCTTTTAAAACTGAATATTCCAAATTTAAATGTTTCTAAGATTTTATAGTCTAATGTGACTTAGTGAAATTTAGGATAAGATATTTTAAAAATAATGAATCTGAAAATTCGAAAACTATTTACAATACACGTTGTACTTTTAACAAAATAAGTTTGCTATTAGAGATGCGACCATCTGTGTTAAGCAAAAAATAATAACAAGTGTGACTCTCGGGGACTGCCGCAATAAAACTATTGCATAGCATTTTTTATAAACTTATGCAATTATAATTAGACCATAAAATTTTAATATTAAAACAATAATAACATAAGACCACGCTATATTTATAAACATTAACAAAAGCAAAACATTAACTGTTCCCTTCACACTCATAAGCTAGACAGCGCGAAAGAGAGAGATGGGCAGACTTTTCATGATGCGCATGCAGTGCGACGTCACGCCGCGCGCTTACTCGCAAACACTATACAAGCGCAACGTGTCAATGTGTTGAACGCGAGCTACATGGTAGGCGGAGTAGGGGGCGTTAGGTTTTATTTTCGTTACGGAATTTCTTGATTCAGTCGCCGCGGTCAAAGCCCGAGATAAAAGCTATGCAATAGCTTAAAATAGTCAAGTAATTTAAACTATTGATACTTATGGTGTATATAATACATATCGCACTTACTTGACAAAACCTGGCGGTGTAACATTGAACGTCACTTCCGAATGTCCCGGACTCTTTCCGTACGCGCATATATCGTACGATATCACCACCGTTTTATTAGGTTCGTTCGAACCTGGTATTTCTATTGACGGTGGCACTAGTTGGACTATATCTGGATGTTGAATATTCGATATCACTTCTAGGGATGTGTTATATTGGCCTCTGGAACGAGAAGAAAGTATTAGACTGGAAACAAAACTCACTTAATAATTAAACGAAACGACTATTCAATTCAAATATCGTAGCAAGATACTTTTTTTCTAAATACGTATTTAAAAGATATTCCCCATTGTTGTTTAATAAAAATAAAATTTGTAATCTTGCGTCATTACCGGTGGCGAACCCGTACTAGGAGGTACCATCATCATGTCTAATTCTGCCGCGAAATATAATAATACTCACATTTGGACCAGTTTGAGTAGTCGAGTTTCTTCGACTAAAAGATTCAGATCAGTTACTTCGACGTACATCTTGTCTAACTGGGAATGTGCACTCGGTATACCTGAAAGAATTTAATGACAAATCTTATTACGGACTACCTTAGCCAATTAATTCACTTCCTTAATAATGCAATTAATGTTTTATAATATTTTCGGGTTTTGCTGACTGTACTGCACTGGTAGTAGGACCTCTTGTGAGTCCGCGCGGGTAGGTACTACCACCCTGCCATTTCTGCCGTGAAGCAGTAATGCGTTTCGGTTTGAAGGGTGGGGCAGCCGTTGTAACTATACTTGAGACCTTAAAATTTATATATCAAGATGGGTGGCGCATTTACGTTGTAGATGTCTATGGGCTCCAGTAACCACTTAACACCAGGTGGGCTGTGAGCTTGTCCACCCATCTAAGCAATCAAAAATAAATAAATAAAATCGAAGTTCCTTTGCTAGGCGATTTGTACTAATCAACATTACGATTGGAGTCACTCAGTCTTATTTCTTTGGAACGTTAACGAGATATAATAAAATGTTCATAACATACCTATATTGAAATGATGAGATTACAAATGTTTAAAAAAAAACATTCTATGAAACAATTTAAAAAAAAATTGATTCGCACTGACTCGAAAAATTCGACATTTTATTCTATGAAATCACTTTAATTAATTTTATCTCAGAATACAGGTTATTCTGAGAATTATATTTTTATTCGGTTTGAGATCTCGATGACAAGATTCTTCTATCTCATCAAGATTCATCAAGATTTTTCTAAATCAAATTTTTGTGATATTTAAAGGAAATGAACTTCATATCATATTTTTAGTTAGAAACGTTTCCCGAACTAGGATTGTAATATTACGAAACGCATGGGCAAACACATCTTAAACTACATTAGAACCAATGCCAATTTTCTCAACTATACCATACTAATATTATAAATATGAAAGAATGTATGCTTAGATCTCAAATTGGATGATCGAATATAAATGAAATTTCCCAGATAGATAACCTGGTTTTTTTTCGACCTAAGCTGATAGCCTTGAGAGGCTATATAAGCGTCGCCTTAACTAGTAAGTGAGCTAAGGGGGTCAAACCTGATGACGTTGCTAACACGAACCCTAGCAAGAGCCGTGCTTCGCAGAATCTACCACCGGATCGGAAACGCGACCCACTGAGAAGATCCGGCAAGAAACTCAGTGGGCTGTGTTTGAGGGGGTAACTTACCTAAAATTAACATAACAACTAAAGAGAAGCGTAATCTATGACTAGAAATAGAGCACGCGGCTGCTCGCGGCCTCAATACTGCACTGCATTCCGCCATCGTGATCTGTTTACCTGTGAACAACAATTAATTGTAAATAGACATGCTTTAACAAAAACCGACTTCAAATAGAAAAAAAAAATCCAAAACAAATTAATATATAATAAATAATACACTAAAAACAATAATCATCGAAATCGGTGGGCGTCATATTGAGTTATTTAGTTATTCATCTATTTGTCGCGCACGTACTAAATGCAAATTTAAGACTTATATGGTACTACTACCACCCCGCCTACTTCTGCCATGAAGCAGTAATGCGTTTCGGCTTGAAGGGTGGGGCAGCCGTTGTAACTATATTGAAACCTTAGAACTTACGTCTCAAGGTGGGTGGCGCATTTACGATGTAAATGTCCATGGGCTCCAGTAACCACTTAACACCAAGTGGGCTGTAAGCACGTTCACCCATCTAAGCAATAAAAAAATAAAAATCCGCCGAAACGTGAATGAGGAAAAAAATGTATGCACGTGATTATGTGTTAATCCCACTATATTAATTTTGATATTTTAAATTAAACATTTGATCATTGGGTCAAAATAATTATATAACATTTCTCTTATCTATTCTTATCAAGAAACAGTATTCATTCATATTTATTTAAACGTTTATAATACTATTAAGGCATTCAAGAGTATTTTCTTGATAAAATATTAACCAATAAAAGAGAATGGATAGGTCGTGTACAAGTTTCGAAGGTAAACAAGGAAACGTAATTAATAAGGCCCTAAAACAAGTTCATAGAAATAGCGTTGTATGCGAATACAATGTTGTAAGCCTTGTATACAAATCTATGTTCTTAAGACGGGGATATAGTTACGTTATTATAAATTTGGATGCCATAATATGTACATAGGTAAACTTAAGTGAAAACTTAGTTAATAAGGGTTATGTTCGTGAATTATCGGTTTTTTTTTATTGCTTAGATGGATGGACGAGCTCACAGCTCACCTGTACTGGAGCCCATAGACATCTACAACGTAAATGAGCCACCCACCTCGAGATAAAGTTCTAAGGTCTCAGTATAGTTACAACGGCTACCCCACCCTTCGAACCGAAACGCATTACTGCTTCACGGCGGAAATAGGCGGGCTGGTGGTACCTACCCGTGCGGACTCACAAGAGGTCCTACCACCAGTGATTACGCAAATTATAATTTTGCGGGTTTGGTTTTTATTACACGATGTTATTCCTTCACCGTGGAAGTCAATCGTGAACATTTGTCGAGTACGTATTTCATTAGAAAAATTGGTACCCGCCTGCGGGATTCGAACACCGGTGCATCGCTACATACGAATGCACCGGACGTCTTATCCTTTAGGCCACGACGACTTACAAGGTTTATAAGAAGACCACGAAAAGGTATTACTTAAAAAAAATAATTAGTAAAGCAATGGTGGTGAGGCAGCCGTCGATATTATGTCCTAGAATGGGAAATAGTATTCACGCTATCATTTATTAAACGAAATAAAATTAGACCGTGTACTCATTTATCCATCCGCATAAATTTAAAAATGATGAAGGTAGAAACTGTTCAAGTACACCGCTTAACCGTGATAGCTCTAGTGAAATCGGTGAAACAAGATATAAAGATCCAAACAAATAATTAAGCATAGAAACTTTGGTAAATAAATAATTGTGCTCAATGATGTATAGCACGTGGCTAACATATCATATCTGCATTGGGAATATTTATGAGGTCGAAAACTAGCATTTAAGTTTTATCTTAATTTAATTATTTTATAAGCAACACGTGCAAGTCAAGGCATTATCACTACGTTCTATAAAATTAATTGTTGTGAGCATTTTTATCACAATTTGTGTTCCTTATGTGTCAAACCTTGAATTACATTTAAAAATAAAATTTTCCGTAGCGATGTGAAACTGTTTCCAAAATCGAAGAGTGATTCGCAACATGATGACAATAAAAAAATAGGTTGGATGTTTTTTTTTTTCTGGCCCTCCTGATGGTCGATGTTTGCCAATGCTACCAACAATTACAAAAGTATGCATTAGCCACTAGCTACCTCTGAAGAATAATCGCAAGCCTCTCTATATTCAACATCTATAAAATTGTACGTATCAGTTCCGACGTGCGACTTGAGTCTTTGTCTGGACTCTTTAAAGTGATCGTGACAAGGAATATACAATTGACAAAGGTGGTTAATAAATGCAGCTCTTATAACACTTAAAGCATATTTATACTCTTATGTATTATATTGTATAATCTATACTAATATATAAATCTGCAGTGTTTTTTTTTCGGATGTTCCGTTATAACTACTGAACCGTGCATCCGATTGACTTGAAACTTGGTATCCATGTAGAAAATACATGTACTTAATGGATAGGCTAATATTTATATGAGTGTTGGACTCCCTACACCAGTTGCGGGGGTGTTAATAATGAGAATCTTTGTGGGGGTGAGAAATAATAATGTTAATTTTAAATGCCCAACGAAGCGGACGGGTACAGCTAGTCTTATATGTAAAATTAACTCTATAAAATATTATAGATAAATAAAATATGCTACTAATATGAAACTCCTATTATAAGTGACATCATTTATTGTCAAGTACGTATATAATATATGACGAAAACTAATTTAGGTTTGAAATATCTGCTTAATAGCACTAGAGTCAATTTAACGTGTTTATTAACATTAACATGATTAAATTATTTGGCTCTATTATCTGCTATTTTCACGCCACGTTTATTATTCAAGTAATATATTCAATGCCTGCCGTTGTCAAAGGTGGATAGGTAGACACACTCACTCAATTTCTAGTAAAAATACAAATGACAATTAACATTTTACCAAACTAAACACTACATGATGTGTGTGTAATTGAATTCAATACAATTGTATGTTCAAGTGCAATGTACTTACCTATTGTGCTATTTTCATAAATAAAGGATAGCGCGTTTTTATCAACCTTTGACTTTACTGCCCATCAAATTATCGCACCGGGGATTTTAAATGAAATCGATTATACACTAAAAATCAGCTGAGGCGTTGAATTAGCGGTTGCGAGGGAAAACGCAGCTCATCTCAGGCGTTCCTTCGAGTTACTATACTTATTAATATAGGCGTATATTTTATTCCTTCTAAAGTACAATTTATAGCTTACTAGCCGCTCACCGGCTCCGCTCGGGTCTTTAACAAAAATTTCAACGATATTTGACGATGTTTTTTTAATAAAAGGACACTTCTTGTGGCATAACTATAACAATCAGACATATGCTGTCGCGACACTTTTCGTAAATAATAATATCTACATAGTCGTAGTACATTATTTTATTCTATCATCAACAGTTTTCACAGCGCACGCGCTGTAAACAATATTTTAGGTAATTTTTTACACCTTGGGTTACATTATTGGAGTTTTAGTAAGGATCCCTAATTTTTTTCAAAAAAGATTAGCCTGTGTCACTCGGGAATAGTGTAGCTTCCAAACAGTGAAAGAATTTTTCAAATCGGTTCAATAGTTTCGGAGCCTATTCAATACAAACAAACAAACAAATCTTTCCTCTTTATAATATTAGTATAGAAGTATAGATATCTCCTTAACAATCCTATTATGTGGAAGTTAGTGAACAAGCATCCGTAGCTTTTATGTAACGAAGTAAAAATAGCGAACAAGATAAAATTCACGTTTTATAAGCACGTGTTTAATTGATACAGATTAGCATCACGCACTTACGGGTCAATGTTTTTTTTTAATGTAATTTTTATCCAACAGTAATACATGAAGCGCAACGGAAAAGGTTACGTCGCAATTACCTAATTAAGTTTCATTTTTATTTTGGTAACAGATACCTACTTACTACTTAAACGAGTATTTATACTAATTTATTAATTTAACGAATATTACTCGTTTTTTGCTTTTATTTCCTAGCTACGCTGGTAGCTTTGAGAGGCTATGCCAGCGTAACCTAACTAGTAGGTGAGCTCACGGGGCTCAAACCTGATGACGTTGCTAACACTAACCCTGGCAAGAGCCGTGCTTCGCAGAATCTACCACCGGATCGGAAGCGCACTGAGAAGATCTGGCGAGAAACTCAGTAGGCTTTTTTTTTATTGCTTAGATGGATGGACGAGCTCACAGCCCACCTGATGTTAAGTGGTTACTGGAGCCCATAGACATCTAGAACGTAAATGCGCCACCCACCTCGAGATATAAGTTCTAAGGTCTCAGTAGTTACAACAGCTAGTAGGCTGTGTCTGTAGGTTAATTTACTCGCCGAGATTTTCGTCGCAAGCGACGGGTTTGACTAGGACCGGTGCTTGAGGCACCTGAAAGCACCGTTAGTGGATCAGGAGAATCCGAAATGACCTTACTCGTACTGTTTATTTATTAGCTAGCACAGGCTGGCAACGATAAGCCAACAGCTGGCTTTAAGTGTTAACCCGACTCACGAGACACCATAAATCATTCGTAAACGCTAGCAGCCCACTCTGAGACACCTGCCCTAGGTTCCTTGAATTCACTTATATTAATCTAATAATGACTAGTGAACCAAGGCTGTACTGTTTATCACATTTGAAAAACACAATACACTATTCTTCTATTGGAAGTCGATTTTGTTTTTTAATTCTTGGAATATTAAATTAATTCGTGGAAGTGAAAGTTGTTTAGGGCAATCATAAACATAATATTTTTCATATACATATGTCATTTTTTGTAAGGCAAGTAGTTGTACAAAATTTCTGGTCGCACTTAGCATGTGTGTTGTATTGTGTACCAAGAGAAATAAAAGGCCTTCTTTCTAAGCCAAGTTTCATTGAAGCTAACCAGCGACCCAACACAAAATCCAGTTCACTGCCCGAAAAAAAGTAACCTAAGTTGTTTATTAATCCGGGACATTTCGTTTCAAGTTTAATTGTTTTCAAAAGATAACTTTGAAACGAGCGGAACCCCGGGCTCGCCAGGTATTATTATGTTTTTATTTACTGAGCACACTTGTCTATTGCAGATACAATTCGTTATGAATACAAACACTCGACAATAATAT